CGGCTATGTCTATCTTCTTCTCCGATGTCCCTCCTTCCACTCTTCTTCCTCTATCTCTCTCCTCTGTCCCTCCTTCTCTGTCCTCCTTCGTCACTCCATGGTATAGCTCCGCGGCTATGGCCGCTTCCTTCCTCCTTCGTGGGACACGCAAACTCGCTTCACAGAAGTGACAACCAATCTTGTATCGCTCATCTCTCTCTCTCTCTCTCTCTCTCTCTCTCTCTCTCTCTCTCTCTCTCTCTCTCTCTCTTCTTCGTCGTCGTGGTCTTCTTGCAGGTGCGCGGCGGCTTCTTCCACCTCTGCTATGGCGCACCATGCCCTGCATACGACAACGCGCATGGAATAGCGGGTACCTGCTCCGATACCAATGCAATCAGACTCGTCTCATTCACACTTCTTATGCACGTGAACAGCAGCACAGCAAACTGGCGGCATGCGCCCACACAGTACTCAGAGATATGGTTTCCAGGTCAGAGTTCACTTCCACTGGCTATGGCGACTCAGCGCCCAACAACCCACTGTTCACACACACTGGATCACCCTGGATATCCCACACGCGACACTCTGAACACTTGCGCATCACACACACACTACACCCTAAGCTACAGCTATGGCAGCACTAGCTGCCTCTACCCTATCGCTATGGCTACTTCGTCACTCTCGCCCACTTCAGCTTCGGGCCTACTGCAGACCTCCTCGCACAAGACGCTGAGGCAGCGCTTCCGCATGGCTTCCGCAGGAATGAACGAATGGCTGTGCGCGGCCTCTTGATTTATACTTCTGTGATTCGTTGGTCTGCCCTGTTTCCCTGGCCCACGGTGCACACAGTCCCAGATGGTACTTGCTTGACTGGACCGGACTGACTGGACTGGGACTGCTGACTCTGCATGGTGGACTTCCACCACTTGCCCACTTGCCTAGACGTACAGTGGACTGACTCTCCGAAAGGCCACTTCTAGAAACATCTACTTGGCCTTTCGGTACTGTAGCAGCTACGACTGTGCCCTTTCAGGTAAGTAGCAGCTACGACTTTGACCCTTCGGACAGTCTACAGCTACCACCGCTGGACTGCCTAGACTCCTACCCAACAGGTCTATAGTTCGAATCCCCTATACYCCCTAACCTCCGACGTCCTACTTACCACTGGCGAYCCTACAGGTCGCAGGTTCAACTCTACGGGTTGACACAGGTACTGTACACAGGTGAGGTGGGGATCTAGGGATCGAGCCCTGGGATCTGCACCAGCTACTGCGACTGGTGAATACCGTTTCAATGGTAGCATACTGAGTGTGTGTGGAACGTGTGTGTGGAACGTGTGTGGAACGTGTGTGTGGAACGTGTGTGCACTGAGAGGGACAGTACTTCGATGTCCAGGAAGAGATCCTAGGTGAGTCGAGAGAGAGGAGACACGCTGTTAGAGTTTGTATCCAAGGAAGGCCGTCGTTAACTCCGATTTTCCATCTCGTTTTAAAAGTGAGTGACAGGGTTGCACAGTTGGAGGTTTCATGTAAGTTACACCTTGTACTTGTCTGGGGAAGTTGTGTTGGCCAGATGTCTCGATTTTGCAAGTGTATCTTGTGACTGTAACTCTGAAATCGAATTAAGAACTGTGCAGTGATTTGTGTTGAAGAACGCAAACTTGAATTTCCTGTGTTTGGTGCAATATCCATATCTGCACGCTCCCATTGACATGATTGATGCACGAGTGAGAGTCTGCTAGCGTCAATACGAACAGTGATGAAACAAGTGTGGGCATGAGTATCAATATCACAACGGGCTTCTGTTAACATCACCCTCGTTTTATATCTACATACTTCAACGGTTAATTCTTGCATATGAAACTGGTGATGCAGCACTATAGGGTTGATGTCACTCATTTGACCTAGTCATCTGACAACAGGGATGACACTCTTAGAAAACCGACTGGAATGACGTTAATTTGCCTTTGAATATGTCCACAGAAGTTGAGATCCCAGTAAGGGATATGCTAATCTTCCATATCACCACGGCACGCCATGGCACGACCACTACACACACAGTTCTGCCAACTCAGTGACTGGCTGAGCATACCTTTCTAAAGAATGCCATCAAGTGCGCCTTCTCTTTGACGACATCCTCCTGAAGCAAAGCCACACCCACATACAGATATGCACACACACAGGGTTTCTTCTCATTAACCGGAAAAAAAAACGAATGCTAGATTATACAGCAAACAAAATCACTGCCGTGAAATGTCATTGTGAACCTCAAAGTGTGTTTGCAACAAAGTCAGCAACCCTCAACAGATTCAGATCAATTGCATTCGACATGCCAGAAAAAGGGAAAATGGTAGAAACAGCAGAGTAGCAAAGACAAACACTTCGTTGACCGGAAGAACAAGCCCTTCTGCTGCTTCGCGGATAGATAGTTCGAAACAAGGAACAGTCTGCAATAACGCAGGTGCAATGACTCGCAGACCTGTCCCTGAGCCTACACTTATCTTCTAACCTACGCCACATACACATAGCACAGCAAACAGAGTAGTCCACAGGCTCAGTATAGCATGCTGGGGCCGCTACACAGGCCCTGTTTTGGGGCCCGACCGTTGTTCACGCCCCTAGGCCACGCACCCATTTTCGTTGAGCCCCACGGCCATTTTTCCAGGCCACACACTTGGTTCCAAGTGTGCTCTTCTTTATTCAGCATTTATTATTTTGCTGGGTTCTGCCCGGAACATTTTCGACTGTTTCAGATGTGTCGGTTCGGACTTTTCTTTTTGCCAGATTTCAGAACAAATATTCATGCAGTGCTCGGGGGCAGTCCTGACATGGCGATGGTGGGATAGGCTTTGGAGCCTCCTGGGTACTGAGGCCGTCTGGCCATGGGATTGGAGGGTGATACTATGCGAGGCATGGACCTCCCCCACAGGCAGCAATTTTGAAAACAAATGTTTGTAATGAGCCGCCAAAACACAGACTGAGAACACTGCTGATTTCTGGGATTTGCTGCTGGAATGTATGCCTTGCTGAGATTTCCTAATTCTGCTGTGATTTCTATGTCTGTGTGTGTGCGTGCCTGCTGGTCTGCGTGCCTGTCTGAGTGTTTGTCGGCCTGAGTGTGTGTGTGTGACCCGCAAGGGTACTTGTTGGTTGAAAGGCCCCGCAGGGCCGGTACTTACCTGTGGCCGTGGCTTTGATGGTTGCAGCAGGGAAAACACTCAACTAGCGGGGGTAGGCCCGCGACACTTAGAGCAGCGGGAAAAACACTCAAGTAGCAGGAAGGCCTGTTATGAACCTGGTTGCTTGTTGTCAGAAGACCAACACTCGCACACATAGTCTTCCAGGTATGCCCATACATACACAGAAAGGAAGGGGAGAGGAAGGGAGTATCACACCGCACAGGGAGAGATAAACACAAAGGAAGACTTGACCATGCGATATGACTGAGAACACTGAAAGTGCACCTGACTCCAGAGAATCCTCACAACCGGTCACAAAGGAAAGCCGAGCAGATCACATCCAGGAAACAATGAAGCAAAGATAGTTCACACCCAGTTGCAACACTGTTTATTAAACTCAGAGTCTCAAATTGTCAGAATAACCCCAGAACTATGGTAGGCTGCTCAGAAATGAGCGGCGCTTGACTTACTAACCCTGAGTAACCGCTAATAACACCTCTGAGTCCCTGAAACACCAAGCGCCACCCAGATACTGCCTCCAGAGGTAAGTGCCACCCTGAAACAGGCCTCTGAGGCCAAGCACCACTCAGCGGGTGAAGAAGACCAGCGCCACAGTGTCTGATGATGATGACGTGCCGGATGACTTCCCAGGTGGAAGTCTGCAGCAACGCCACCTCTCCTGACAAGATGAACTCTAAGGAAGAAGCTGCAGCTATGGTGGCAGCGTATCACACCCTGTAACCCTACTCCAGAAGAGGGTCCAGCAGGGCATCACTCCTCTCGCCTCCACCAGACCTCGAGTAGCTCGGACCTCTGGACAGCCCCGCCTGCTGTCAGAGTACAGTGCCGGTCCCAGCTATGCCCGACACCCCGCAGGTCCAGCTATGTCTGTCTCCTTCAACGCTGAGCTGCTACCACCTCCAGTTCACGCGTTGCACAGCAGCGATGTACACAGTACCGACTGCCAAAAAGCCCTGAACCGATGTGCCAATCCTATCTATAACCTACACTAGCCTAGACACGACCTAGACCGGACTGACTGGACCGACCGATACCGTTTCAGTTTCGGCCTCTCGGCCTCTACCTACCCGGCTATAGGCTTTAGGACCGTCTATCAGCTTAGGCCCACAGGGCCTATCTGTCCTAGGGTAGCCCGGGTCTGTTATTCGCAGTTAGGGTAGCTGTAGGCAGTTTCAGTTAGTACGGGCCTGTATTTTCCCGAATTTATAGATATGTTCCTCAAGAATTTTCCCTACAGGTAGGTCTCTCGGTTAGCCCTCAGCCAAACAAAATATGAATCTATACTACTTATGGTACAGCCTCGGCAAGAGAGGCTACAGGCAACCAGAAACCAGCAAGTCATTGCAGACCTACCCTCCCCCGGAGCGAGGACCTCCGAGCTAGGGGCGTAGGCATGCAGAACGTCGGAGGGGTTCCCCCTTATGCGCTGCCTCATACCTGAGGACAATAGACTTTGCGGTTTTCAGAAGTTCCTCACGAGTAAACCAGCGATCTTCAGTATGTGGCTGGTATGAAAACTTCACAAGGTACTCCTTGTCTGGACCTGTACCTGACTCGTCCTCAATTGATTCCACCTCATATCCCTTGCCAGCGATAGGGGGACCGAACTGAGGAGGCCTGTCTGGGAATGCATCAGCTGCTGTGAAATGGCAACAACTTAAATGCATGAAAGACAGGGTAGGTTTGTAGATGCAGAGGGACATCCACAACGTAGGATGGTCCAAAGGGATCAGCCCCCGCTGTATCTAAAACCTGCCATGGACCCATATATCGTGGCAACAGTTTAGGCGAAATGTCCTCCTCTCGTGACAGCTCAGAACTGAGTACCCGCACCCAGTCACCTGTGCGAATAGTAGAGGGGCGTCTATGCCTATTAGCCTGCTGTATCATAGCCTTTTGGGCTTTGAGCAGGTTGGCACGGGCGCGCTCAATGTCCACACGGTAACGTCTGGTGAACTCTGTAGTTCCAGTCGTCAATGTGGGGGTAGCCTTGTCGATGACATCATCAAGAGGTTATCATGTTTCACGGCCCCAGTGTAAGCGGTAGGGTGTAAAGTTCGTGGAGGAGTGTACAGACGTGTTATACACAAGCTGTGCACGACTCAAATGGAGATCCCAGTCCTGCTGATATGACTGTCACAGGACACAGCAGCTGAAACATAATCTGGTTCATCACTTCAGCCTGACCATTGGCTTCAGGATGACGACCAAATGTCATGTCTAGTCGAGAATGAAGGTAATCCCTCCAGTAGGATTGCCATTCATTGCTGCAAAATCTAGGATCTCGATCGCTGACAATGGAGGTGGGTGGTCCATGATGTTTAACCCACCGGTCAGCAGATGCCGCCTGGATGGTTGGAACTCAAGCCCCAGCTAAGAAGGGGATAACTCTGAATATTTGGAGAACCGATCCACGCATACCATAACCTGACGCATACCACGAGGTGTGGTCCTACCCAAGTCAGTAAAATCAATAGACACTAACTTTGTAGGTGCTTCAGGAATGGGTAGTAGGCCAAGGGGAGGTCGTCGTACTACCTTGTTCCTTTCGCATAACTCACAGGTTTCCACATAATGCAGCATGTCACTCCTCATCTCCTTCCAGAAGGAGCGTTGCGACAGGGCTGCATACAATTTGAGGGCACCAAAGAGACCACGAGCATCATGACACTCTGACATCAGAAGTGCTCTCAGCTTGTGGTCTTGGGGAATGCATAGGCGTTCCTCACCCCTACTGCAAGTATACAGCAAATATGAAACCAGAGTCTATCCTAGTTCAGAGGTAGGATCATCCTGAAGATTCCTCACCATAGGCCCAAAAATCGCATCCTGGGCAGCAGACAGGCAATTGTCTGACGAGTCTTCTCTCCAAAAGAGCGAGTAAAGGAGATCGCAAAGAGAGCGTCTCGCCTACGAGAAAGGGCATCTGCTACACGATTGTAGCAGCCTTTCTTGTGCTTCAGTTCAAAATCAAACATGTCAATGAACCAAATATAGCGAGCAAGCTTGTCATTCAATTCTCCCTGGGACTTCGTTCACTGGAGGGTGGAGTGATTTGGAAAAATCTTGAAGTGCCTGCCCAAGACGAAGTGTTTCCAATGCTTGAGCGCTGACACAAGAGCATAAAGCTCTTTCTCATAGGTAGAGTCATGCAACTTTTTTGTTTTGATCTTGTTGCTCATGTATTCGACAGGTTGCAGACCATTCCCATCATCCTGCTGAAGTACCGCCCCTACACCATACTGACTAGCATCACTGGCGAGCACAAAAGGCAAAGTAGGGTCAGGTAACTTCATAACAAGGGCACGAATCAAGGCCTCCTTGAGACATGTGAAAGACTCCTAACACTCTAATGTCCAAAGAAAGGAAGTGTCTTTCTTTGTGAGGTCAGTCAGGGGTGCTGCAATGGATGAGAAGTTCTTAATGAACTTCCTGTAATGGGATGCGAGCCCCAAGAAAGACCGCACATCACGAATGTTAACAGGCTTCGGCCAGTCTTGAACAGCAGCAACTTTCGTTGCCTAAGGAGCCAACCCCTCTCCTGAAATGACATGACCCAGATAGACTACAAAGGGAACTTCAAAAGAGGACTTATCCCTGTTGATCTTAGACTAGTTATCATGTAAGGCCTGGAGGACCAAAGCCAACTGTTGCTCATGCTCCTGGACAGAATGACTGAATACCAGGATATCATCCAAGTAGACAACTGCGAACTTGTCGAGGTAAGGTCTGAGTATGCGATGCATCTCTGTTTGGAATGTGCCTGGGGCATTGCAAGGATCGAATGGCATGACCAGGTACTCATAAGCACCAGACCTGGTCTTGAAGGTTGTCTTGTGGACATCGCCTTCATCCATCTCAATCTGGTGATAACCAAATTTGAGGTCGATCTTGCTAAAAATGGTACAACCCTGCACCATATCCAACAAGTCATCGATAC